GCAGCTCCTCCAGTACCCCCAGCAACACCTCCAGCACCAGTAGCACCAGCACCTCCAGCACCACGAGCTCCGACAGCGCCAGCACCTTGAGCACCAGTAGTACCTCCAGCACCTCCAGTGCCTCCAGCTCCAGCTCCAGCGCCTCCAGCACCAGTAGTACCTCCAGTACCTCCTGTGCCAGCAGCTCCAGTAGCACCTCCAGCACCTCCAGCACCAGCAGCACCACCTGCTCCGGCAGCTCCAGCACCTCCAGTACGAGCACCTCCGGGACCAGTAGCTCCAGCACCTCCAGTACCTCCAGCACCAGCACCTCCAGGGTCAGCACCTCCAGCACCTCCAGCACCAGCAGCAGCTCCAGTACCCCCAGCACCAGCAGCACCTAGAGTACCTCCAGTAGTACCTCCAGCACCTCCACCACCAGCAGCACCTCCTGGACTAGTAGCTCCAGCACCAGCCGGACCGTACCCTCCACCACCAGGACTGCCTCGCCGAACGACCCACGCACGAATCGCCTGCGGCGAGAGCGTCTCAAGTAGAGCAGGGTGCGGTGGCTGTCCAGCTCCAGTACCTCCAGTAGTGGTAGCTCTAGCACCTCCAGCACCAGAAGCACCTCTAGTACCCCCAGCTCCAGCACCTCCAGCACCAGCAGCAGCTCCAGTACCTCCAGTAGTACCTCCAGGCCTAGTAGCTCCAGTACCTCCAGCTCCAGGACCTCCAGAAGGACTCGCAGCACCCCCAGAGTCAGCATCCGAAGTCTCAGCACCCCCAGATTCAGCACCCAAAGTCTTAGTACCCCCAGGCTCAGTACCCTCAGGCTCGGTACCCTCAGTCCCAGCACCCGCAGGCTGAGTGCCCTCAGTCCCAGTACCCGCAGGCTCAGTACTCTCAGTCCCAGCACCCGCAGGCTCAGTACGCTCAGTCCCAGCACCCGCAGGCTCAGTACGCTCAGTCTCAGCTCCAGTGTCCACTGCAGAAGGCTGCAGAGGCGGGAAACCAGGGGGGGTAGCCAAACGAGGAGAGCAGTCACCCCCAGATGTACCACTCCCAGGCCCAGCTCCAGCAGCCTCAGCTCTAGAGTCCACAGCAGCAGGCTGCAGAGGTGGCGAAGACGGCCGAGGCGGGAAACCCGGGGGGGTCTCCAAGCGAGGAGTGTGGCGAGTGGTCGCCGTGTCGTCGGCGACGGCGTCACCCCCCTCAGCTGAGTCAGAGGAGTCAGAAGAGATCTCAAGTGGCTCATCCAAGGGGGGTGGGTCTACCTGGGACACACCTGAGGGAGCAGGACCCTATGGGGGAAGGGGGTCTACCAGGGGGGGGACTAGTACCAGGAAGAGAGGCGCGAGGGGGACCGGGTGGGACGCGTGTGGGTGAATTCGGTAGTAACAGACCGACTCGTCGAAGGTGACGTCCTGAGAGGACAGAACACGACGCGAGGCAGGGTGGTAGAACTGCCAGGGTGGAGCGTCGGTGGGGAAGCCCAGGAAGACACAACGGAGAGTGCGAGGAGAGAGCTTGCTCGCTTTGGTATCGCGAACAAGGGAGAGCGCGCCCCAGACCCGAAACGACGACGCATTACCAGGCTGTCCCGTCCAACGGAGTGTGGGCGAGGTCTCTGGAGCAGAGACACGGGGCCAGAGGTTGAGCTGATGCGCGGCGTATCGGACCGCAAACGGCCACAGGAAATGGGGAGCAGCCGCATGGATCATGGAGGTACGAGCAACCTCCATGATCAGGCCAATGCGACGCTCAGCGATCCCATTTTGCTGCGGAGAGGCCAGAAGCGTGAACGACTGGGCGATGCCCTCATCCTGGCAGAACGTCTCAAGGACGCCAGAGGAGAACTCACCACCCCTGTCAGAGTGCAGACGCAGGACTGGGAAGTCCTGCTGAAAGCGCTCGTGCAGCTGGAGACGAGTAGCACGGATCCAGGGGATCAAAACACTGCTGACGTCCGCCTTGCGACGCAAGGGGAAGACAGTGGTGTAGCGTGTGTAGTCGTCAACAACCAGCAGGAAGTAGCGCTCCAGGTCCGTCCCATCGACTGGGGCCGGGCCCCACACGTCCAGGTGGAGAGTCTGCAGAGGAGCAGTGGTCGGAGGAAACTCGGAGGAGTGAGGAGCGGCGCGCTGCTGCCCCTCGACGCAAGGAAGGCACGGCGGCGCAAGTGAGCGCGGGAGGGGGGGCAGGGTCCTGGGGAGGCCAGAGACAAGGAGACGGGAGTGCATAATGCGTAGACGCTGCAGGGAGGGGTGACCAAGACGGTGGTGCCAGCGCTGAGTCTCGTGCGTGAGTACTCTGCACGAGCAAGACGCAGCTAACTGCCCCGACGCAGACGCCCGACTCGACGCAGCCACCTGACCTGACTCAGCCACCTGTGCAGACGCAGTGGTCAGTGTGTACAGACTAGACCCAGGCTGTCGAGTGAACGTAGCCAGGTGACGGCCAGTCCGGGAGCACGTACAGATCGCCACACGCTGCCCTCCAGGAATAAAGGTATCAACCCAGGCATCCTGAATGGCAGCGTTGCTCACCAAGTTCGTCGAGAACGTGGGGAGGTGGAGACCTGACAGAGAGCCAGAGGGGACTGCTGGACAAGGAAGGACCGTGGAGGCTCTCGCAACTACTGGGCCCCCAGAGGGGTCAGCTAGTGAGTCTGGGACAGGTGCTGTGAGTGGTGTGACTGTGGTGCAATCACGAAAGAAGCAACCTGACGCGCCTGAGTCAAGCGTGAAAGTGTGCAAGACCTCAGCTGAGGCAGGACCTGTGGTAGGAGACGCACTAGCACCTAGAGCGTCAGCAGACTCACGGGCACCTAGAGTTGCAGCAGACTCACTAGCACCTGGAGCGGCAGCAGACTCACTAGCACCTGGAGTAGCAGCAGACTCACTAGCACCTAGAGCAACAGTCCTAACAAAACGATAACCTCCACCACCAGGAAGACCTCGCTTAATAACCCACTCACGAAGCTGCTGAGGGGTGGGGTTGTCCGGGAGAAGCAGTGCCCGCTGCTGTCCACCCCTGACCGCAGCAACTGCCGCGGAAGTGGCCATGACAGACAGTGACGGTCAGGAGTAGGTCCAGCACCTCCAGCTCCTACAGCGGCAACAGCACCTCTTGCACTCCCAGCAGCACCTCCTCCACTCCCAGTAGCACGAGTAGCAGCAGCAGCAGTAGTAACAGCAGCAGGGCGGCGCGCGGCCAGAGCAGGGCGGCGCGCGGCCACAGCAGGGCAGTAGTAGGCAATAGCTCCTAGGGCAGAAGCACCTAGGGCCCTTTTTTTTTTTTTTTTTTTTTTTATAAACAATTTAATTATATTTAGGGTATAGCAGGGCGCTGGCGCAGGGCAGGGCGCTGGCGCAGGGCAGGGCGCTGGCGCAGGGCAGGGCGCGGGCGCAGGGCAGGGCGCTGGCGCAGGCTGCAGCAGTGCGTGACGCGAGGGGCAGCAGAGCGCGACGCGACGGGCTGCCTTAGGGCGCGACGCGCGGGCTGCAGCAGAGCGCGACGCGCGAGGCAGCAGCACGCGACTCGTGGGCTGCGTTAGGGCGCGGGCTGCAGGGGCAGGACGCACGGGCTCCAGGGGCGGTGTGCGGGCTCCAGGGGCGACGCGCGGGCTGCAGGGGCCGCGCGGATGGGCTGCAGAGGCGACGCGCGGCTCGGCAGGTCCGCGCGCGAGCTGTAGGGGCGGCGCGAAAGGGCCGCAGAGGCGGCGCGCGGGCTCCAGGGGCGACGCGCGGGCTGCAGGGGCCGCGCGGACGGGCTGCAGAGGCGACGCGCGGCTCGGTAGGTCTGCGCGCAGGCTGCAGGGGCAGCGTGAACGGGCTGCAGGGGCAGCGTGAACGGGCTGCAGGGGCAGCGTGAACGGGCTGCAGGGGCGACGTACGGGCTGCAGGAGCGACGTACGGGCTGCAGGGGCAGCGCGCGGGCCACAGGGGCAGGCGCGGCTGCAGGGGCAGCACGGTAGCAGGGGCGAGCACGGCTGCAGGGGCAGCACGGTCGTAGGGGCGAGCACGGCTGCAGGGGCAGCGCGGTCGCAGGGGCAGCGCACGGGCTGCAAGGGTCGCGACAGTGAGAGCTAGGGGCGCCAGCGCTGTGGCTTCTGTGTAGGGCGTGGTGCTACCACTAGGCGGAACGGTGGGCCCATGTAGGAACGGTTCCTACTCTGATAACATGTCAAGAATAGAACTAGGAATGAATGAGTGAACTAGGCAAGAGGTGAGTACAAGTAGGGGAAACCTAACCCTAAAGTGTTGTACTCACTAAGGAGTGACCCTACTGTAGCCTAGAGATACAATTGTAATCTGACAAGTACGATTGGTGTTCATTTGTATTTACAAACGGGTTCTATCTGAAACTCACAATAATGCACATGGGTACTACACAACTTTTCCCCAATGGTGCACTCAAAAATTTATTTATAGGGCGTTTTGAAACATTCCCAAGGCTGTATTCCTGGAGTATAAAAGAACAGAGGCTTGGAAATAGGTTATTATGTTTCTAAGCAAGCGGTGGTGAACCAGATATCCAGCATGGCGAGTGTAACAATCCACGAGTAATGCGTGCTATCAGGCGACAAGTCAGGACGAGGAAGAGTTACCGAGGTCATTGGCACAAACCTCTCAAACCCTTGGAGTGGCAGCAGCCTGACAGGAAAAACCACAGCAGGAAAGACTTGTCAATCTTTGCTCTGCCCTAAATCATGTTCACTCACTTGCTGCTGGAATTGTTTGCAATGGTGTAGAGTAGATGCCTGATTGTGGCTCAACGCGGTTCAGTTTGGAGTGATGAGAGTCTGACATGAGGTGAGTCAAATGCTGCTAAAGCACCACCAACTTAAAAGCTTCCTCCTGAGGCGCCACCTACCTGGAAGCTTCCTCCTGAAGTGACACCCACCTGAAAACTTCTCTGAACTGAAGTGCCACCCAGTGCTTCAGCCAATACTGCAAATAGAAAGTCTCCCACCTGTAACTTTGAAAACTTCCCTCAAGTGCCACCCACCTGAAAACTTATGAAAACTTTCCCTGAAGTGCCACCCACCTGGAAGCTTCCTCCTCGAAGGCCATGCCGCGCACGTTGTTGCTTTTGTTGATGATCCAGCGGGGCTTGATGTCCTCTCTCGCTGCCCACGGGCCAAAGAAGGTCACCCGCCGCGCGTCCTGCAAGTGCCTCCGCAAGCTGGGCAGCAGGTGCGAGGCTGAGAGGCCAAGGAGAGGAACATGGGGAGCACAGCACAGGAGGCACATGAGATGGCAAGGAGAGGATCATGTGGCTGGCAGGGTAGCATGCATGCGCAGATGAGAGAGCAGCAGGTGCGAGGCTGGGAGTGGATGTATGGCTGTGGAACGAGGAGGGAGTGCAATAGCAAGTTTACAACACCACACCACGAAACTGGGGAAGAATGGAGATGCTCTGAACGCATGTGCGTTGCTAGAGTGCAAGCACAGCAGATAATAATAACAATAACAATATTAATAAAAAATTTGACTATCTCTCCACGTACTTGCCGCGCTTCTGTAGTCCTGTGTTGAGTTCGATGTGGTGAGATCGTGCAGGGAGGCGCCAAAGGCGACGAGTCGGAAGGGTGTGTCTGGGCGGCTCAGCACCTCGCCAAGAGACTCGTGTTGAACATCCACTCGGGCAGCACCACCCGTATCGCCCCCATCTGTGTCACGTATGTTAGATTGAACACAAAGGCCTTATCGTCCCTGCTGACGTTGAACCTGGGAAGGCATGGCAACGGGAGGTGCAGCACTCATTGACTGTGAATCCAAAGACCGGAATGGGACAGCAGGAGAAGAGAGTTAGCATGCCGCAGGAGCCAACACGCTCAACACTCTCAACACCCTGTTACAAAAAAAAAAAAAAAAAAAAAAAAAAAAACAAACAAACAACACTTAAAATGTCCCCCTCTAACCGCAAGCCGTTCACTGAAAGGTGGTTGACGTCTCCCGTGCATGTGGAGCATAGCGCGAAACGCCCCAGGCTCACCTGGCGCGCACAAAGCCGTTATAGAGCGAGCCGAGGTAGAAGGTGTTAACAAAATGGGGTCCGCGCACACGCATGCGCAACAGCTGCTCGCCTCCACTCCCCTCGCTCTCATTGAAGGGGCTCCACACCTGAGGATAGCCATGGAACCCGTGGACGCCCTGTGCAGGGGAGATACGGCAGGCAGCACACGGGCCGACAGGCAGACAGACAGATGCGCAATGGGTTTCTCGAATCCACTCCCCTCGCTGCCATTGAAGGGGCTCCACACCTGAGGATAGCCATGGAACCCGTGGACGCCCTGTGCAGGGGAGATACGGCAGGCAGCACACGGGCCGACAGGCAGACAGACAGATGCGCAATGGGTTTCTCGAATCCACTCCCCTCGCTGCCATTGAAGGGGCTCCACACCTGAGGAAAGCCGTGAAACCCGTGGACGGCCTGTGCAGGGGAGATACGGCAGGCAGCACACGGGCCGACAGGCAGACAGACAGATGCGCAATGGGTTTCTCGAATCCACTCCCCTCGCTGCCATTGAAGGGGCTCCACACCTGAGGAAAGCCGTGAAACCCGTGGACGGCCTGTGCAGGGGAGATACGGCAGGCAGCACACGGGCCGACAGGCAGACAGACAGATGCGCAATGGGTTTCTCGAATCCACTCCCCTCGCTCTCATTGAAGGGGCTCCACACCTGAGGAAAGCCGTGAAACCCGTGGACGCCCTGTGCAGGGGAGATACGGCAGGCAGCACACGGGCCGACAGGCAGACAGACAGATGCGCAATGGGTTTCTCGAATCCACTCCCCTCGCTCTCATTGAAGGGGCTCCACACCTGAGGAAAGCCGTGAAACCCGTGGACGCCCTGTGCAGGGGAGATACGGCAGGCAGCACACGGGCCGACAGGCAGACAGACAGATGCGCAATGGGTTTCTCGAATCCACTCCCCTCGCTCTCATTGAAGGGGCTCCACACCTGGGGAAACCCGTGAAACCCGTGGATGCCCTGTGGGGGGCAGATATGGCGGCACATGCGCAGAAAGGTAGAGACAGGTGCCACGTAGGTTGGTTGAGAGAGGAATAGGGCGGGCTGGGTACACAGAGACACGGATAGAAAGAGGCCTTTTGAGGTGCCTCAAAAGTCATAGGACGGGGTGGGTACACAGAGAGACACCGATAGAAAGAGGCCTTTTGAGGTGCCTCAAAAGTCATAGGGCGGGGTGGGTACACAGAGAGACACCGATAGAAAGAGGCCTTTTGAGGTGCCTCAAAAGTCATAGGGCGGGGTGGGTACACAGAGAGACACCGATAGAAAGAGGCCTTTTGAGGTGCCTCAAAAGTCATAGGGCGGGGTGGGTACACAGAGAGACACCGATAGAAAGAGACAGGGGAGAAAACGGGCAGAGCAAGGCATTCATGGTACAGAGCATGCACGGGGTTGAGTAGCTGTTTTTTTAGGTGAATAAAAAAAGTAGACTCCAGAATCGATTCATTCACGGTACACAGCATGCACGGGGTTGAGTGGCAGCAGGCAGGCTGGCAGCAGGCAGGCATGCAGGCAACAACACACGGTGCTCGCTTGCTTGCCTTCATGTCGACCTTCTCGGACTCAACAAAGGCCGCACGCGAGTGTGCATGCAGGAAGACCTGGAGGAAGCAAAAAAAGTAGAAAATCTTTGAGTCGCCTGCCGGACCCACGTGAACAGACGAAAGGTGGGGAGGAAGGAAGGGGGTTCTTTAGTGCGCGCTAGTGTGCATTAGGGAAGGCCTGGAGGAAGCCAAACAAGTAGCGCATCTCTGAGTCGCCTGCTGGACCCACGTGAACAGACGGCAGGTGGGGAGGAAAGGGGGTTGATTAGTCGACTCAAAGGCTCAACACGTGGCGCGTTTCTGAGTCTCCTGCCGTGCACCCCGTACCCATGCACAGCAACCCCTACCCATGAGCACCCCCTCCTACCCATGAGCACCCCTCCCTACCCATGAGCACCCCTCCCTACCCATGAGCAGCACGCGCTGCTTGCGGTGGAAGCAGCGGAGAGCACCGTAGGGCTGCACGGCCTTGAGGCGGCACGCGTGGGGGCGCCACTGCTGGTCCTTCCAATAGCCCTCGTTGCCAGACGAGCGCAGCAGGGCAGCTGTGCACCAGGGGAGGCTCCTTCTGTGCTCCAGGGAGGGGGTGGAACGGGAAACCATTGGAGAATTTTCAGAAATGTTGGAGGTGCTTTTGAAAAATCTCAACAGCAATTGCAACACTGCTGGTCCTTCCAGTAGCCCTCGTTGCCGGACGAGACGAGGGCAGCAGGGCAGGCGTGCACCAGGGGAGACTCTTTCTGCGCTCCAGGGAGAGGGTGGAAGGGAGGGATGGAGGGCTTTCCTCGACTGGCAGACTTTGGAATTATTCGATTTTGATCAGGCTTTTGTTCGGTTTTGATCCGGCTTTTGTTCGGTTTTGATATAGACTACTGCATCAGGGAATGCTGGAGACAGCATCTTTCAGTCTTGAAGGCATCAGGCAATCATGGATCCATGGCCCCATCCCATTCATATGAGTCGACCTGCATTGCAGCCCACACTCGTGCTTCTTGGCCCCTCATTGAGACCTCACCTCACTACTGAGACACCACCACCACGCTCACCTGAGCACGTCTGGGAGGTAGGGCTGGGGGCTGGTGACTTGCATTTCAGCCCACACTCCTGCTTCTTGCCGCGGCTCGACTGATTACAACCCCACTGAGATACGTGGGAGGGACATATGTTGCAGCGTATGTTTTTTGAGAATTCTCAAAAAACATACGCTGCAACATGTGACCTGCATTGCAGCCCACACTTCTGCTTCGTGCCGCGGCTCGTCTGATTACCGCAGTGAGGAGACGAGCCATGATGCTTACCAGAGAGCGTCTGGGGAGTAGGGCTGGGGGCTGGTGACCTGCAGCTTGCGGAGGGAGTCTGATTTTGAGTCGACTCAAAAACAATCCGCGTGTGATGAGACTCATCTTACCTGAGCGCGTGTGATGAGACTCATCTTACCTGAGCGCGTGTGATGAGACTCATCTTACCTGAGCGCGTGTGATGAGACTCATCTTACCTGAGTGCGTCTGGGGAGTACGGCTGGGGGCTGGTGACTTGCAGCTTGCGGAGGGCCACCAGATGATAGCTGCACGGAGGTGGGCAGTGATGGGACGGCGGGCCATGCATGGGCGAGAGAATCATGAGGGTAAGCGATGGGCAGATGAGCGAATTTATGGTAAATTCATGAAAGGTTCTGGGAGTTAGGGAAAGGTATGGTTACGGGTGTGCATGCAGGGTGTGAGATGGTGTGGGTGAGTGTGCGAGCAGGGTGTTAGATGGTGTGGGTGAGTGTGCGAGCAGGGTGTGAGATGGTGTGGGTGAGTGTGCGAGCAGGGTGTGAGATGGTATTGGTGAGTGTGCGAGCAGGGTGTGAGATGGTGTTGGTGAGTGTGCGTGCAGGGTGTGAGATGGTGTGGGTGAGTGTGCGAGCAGGGTGTGAGATGGTGTTGGTGAGTGTGTGAGCAGGGTGTGAGATGGTGTTGGTGAGTGTGCGTGCAGGGTGTGAGATGGTGTGGGTGAGTGTGCGTGCAGGGTGTGAGATGGTGTGGGTGAGTGTGCGAGCAGGGTGTGAGATGGTGTGGGTGAGTGTGCGAGCAGGGTGGGAGATGGTGTGGGTGAGTGTGCGAGCAGGGTGTGAGATGGTGTGGGTGAGTGTGCGAGCAGGGTGTGAGATGGTGTGGGTGAGTGTGCGTGCAGGATGTGAGAAGGTGTGGGTGAGTGTGCGAGTACATGCGCGCAGCCCAGGGTAGCTTTAGCAGAGACATCACATTGGAAACATGTGTCTGTCCATGCTTCCACTGTGATGCATAGACACATGCAAACATGGGCACATGCAAACATGGGCACATGCAAACATGGGCACGTGCAAACATGGGCACATGCAAACATGGGCACATGCAAACATGGGCACATGCAAACATGGGCACGTGCAAACATGGGCACATGCAAACATGGGCACATGCAAACATGGGCACATGCAAACATAAACAGATTTATACATGCACACATGCTCACACGCAGACATGTGTACATGCACACAAACGCACACGCACACCCATGCACCAGCAAGCTGGCATGCGTTCTTCAGTGCTGCTGCTGCTGCTGCTGCTGCTGCTGCTGCTGCCCTGAACTGCCCCTCACAGCAGGACCTAATGCTCATGGTGGTTCTTTAGAATATCACATGCCCCACACCAGGCAGGACCTACTTCTGGAAGCCGGGGTTGTAGGCGTTGCTGAGAGAAGTGCGGGTCTGACACGCGTTGGAGAAGAGCAGATGCAGAGAGAGCACGTAGGGGCCGGGGAAGGGCGCTGTGAAGCACACCTGGGGACGCATGATGCAGTGGGACGCATGGGAACACAAGGAGCGACTTTTGAGTCGACTCAAGGAACACATGGGACGCATGATGCCATGATGCCGTGGGACGCATGGGAACACAAGGACCAGCAGAGCAGAGCAGTCCGCACACAGGTCAAGTGGACGGGGAAGGGGGGCGGGGAGAGAGAGGGCAAGGGTGTTTGCATGGGGCGCAGGCGAATTTTGAGGCGCATCCAACATGGAAGGGGTGCGGGCAGGGGAGAGAGCGAAAGGGCAGAGGTGCTTGGGCCATGCAATGCAACCATACTCAACACCATGTGTCTGAGAGGAGAGCACCTGGTGGGAGGAGGAGGCGGGGCGGTACGTGACTTGAGCTGCCAGTCGCAGGTCTGTCCACCCGTTCACAGCATCATCCCATGCCGGCGCCTCTGTCACTCTCGCCGTTCTCCCGAAACCTCTCCACCTACTCTCCACGTCCTCCCCACCCACCCCGCTGTCGCTGCTGCTACCTCTGGCGCTGCTGCTGCTGCCGCCGCTGCTCCTGGCACTGCTGCTGCTGCCGCTGATGGTGCTGGCGGTGTGGATGTTGGTCATGGTGGCGGTGGTGGGGGTGGGGGTGGGGGTGGAGGGTGACTGGGTAGGGAGAGAGGAGGCAGTACCGAGAGGTCCTGAGGAGCGGTTGGCGAGGGTGTCAAAGGCGAGGAGTGCCACGAAGAACGCCCGCTGTCTGCAGGTGAACGTAGAGGGGCGATGGAGAGTGGAGAGGGGCGATGATGGAGTGGAGAGGGGCGATGATGAAGTGGAGAGGGACGATGATGGAGTGGAGAGTGGTGATGGTGGAGTGGAGAGGGGTGATGGAGTGGGGAGGGGTGATGGAGTGGAGAGGGGCGATGGAGTGGAGAGGGGCGATGGAGTGCAGAGGGAAAATTGATTGTGCGAGGCTGAGGAGGTAGGCAAAGAGACGAGGCGGAGGGAGATGGAGTGCACGCACGGAGCAGGGAAAGATGGCTTTTGAGGCGGCTCAAAAGGAGGAGAGAGATGGAGGGCACACGGGAGGGGAACATGGGTGTAGAAGTGGGGCAAGGAAGGTATGGCATGAGGGGGAAAGAAGGAGGGAAAGGAGAGGGAAAGAGGGAGAGAGGGAGGTGTGATGGACACAGCACCTGCAACCAACGTCGAACGGTTCTCCAGCTTCATCGAATGCTGCCACGTGCAACAGCAGTAACAGCAGCAGCAGCAACAGCAGTAACAGCAGCAACAGCAACAGCAACAGCAGTAACAGCAGCAACAGCAACAGCAGTAACAGCAGCAACAGCAGCAGCAGCAGCAGCAGCAGCAGCGGCGGCGGCGGCAGCGGCAGCGGTGGCAGCAGAGACAGATCATGCAAGCCAAGAAAGAGCACACCAAAGCAGGGCATGGATCCTTGTTAGAGTCACACATTGTGCTCCTTGTTAGAGTCACACATTGTGCTTTCTCGGGAAGCTTAGAACAATGCATAGGAGTAAAAGCAAGAGCAGCTTGAAAGTGAGAAAGAAGGGCAGGTGGTGACACCAAATATGGTTGATATGACATGAGATGTCTCAACGACAAGGTCCCTGGCCGAGAATGGACGGACCAATCACGAATGGGGACCATTTTCGTATCAATGAAATTCCCTTCCTTCCAGCACCTTGCGGCCCCTCGCCTTGCAGTCTGCCTGTTAAGGACAACTGCCCAAGTGAGGCACTTCCTATCCACTCAACAGCGCCCCCGTGCCCTACACCACTGGGTCACACTACTGATTCACACCACTGGGCCGAATTGGGTGTTCAACAGAAAAAGAGGTTCGCAACGCAAGCAACGTATGTCCATTCAATACGCAGACAATTGCTCGGCGTTACACAGCCCATTCCTCGCCCGAGTCTCCCAGTCCCACCAGTCACAGTGAAGCACGTGCGCTGGTTGACGAGAGCCCGCTCCGCCCCCGCCCAATCCACCTCCACTCGCCCGAACCTCGCCGCCCCCGTCACGTTCCACCCTTCCCCCGCCCTCCGCTCCTCCTCCAACCCGCACTCCCTCTCCCCCTCCCGCTCCGCCTCCTCCTCCTCCGCCTCCGCCTCCCCGTCCGCCTCCGCCCCTCCCTCCTCCCCACGCATTCCTTCCTCTCCTGCCTTCGCCCTCTCCTCCTCCCCACGCATTCCTTCCTCTCCTGCCTTCGCCCTCTCCTCCTCCCCACGCATTCCTTCCTCTCCTGCCCGTGTGTCCGCCGGCTCTTTGTCGCCTCATTCTGCGCCATCCGCGTTACAGAGTCACGGCGTGCCCCTCCATCGTCCGCGGACCCGACCTGCTGCTCCGTTATAAGCAGCTCCGCTGATCCCTGGTCACGCTGCGACTGCTGCCCCCACTGCGACCGGTACAGCTTCACGGGCTTGTCGAAAACTGAAGGCCAGCGGGGAGATAAGGATGAGAGCCGCCCCTACGGCGAGATTAGGAGGATGAGGATGAAGAGCCGTTTGTTGGTGGGTGCGAGGGTGGGAAGAAAGAGAGAACTGGTTTGCATCGCAGCGCTGATCCTGATAAGATGACAAAGGCCGGTCCTTGTACTACTAGAGGGTCAGTGGTACCTCGAATGGTACCTCAATGGTACCTCCCTCTAGTAGAGTGACAAACGCTTTCAACCTGACAAACCTGGGGATTCGCATGAAACAAGTTTGCGACTGGTAACACTGTAACACTGCGTCTTTGAAAAGCGCGCGACAGAAGCCATGCGCAACGGCGTGTAAGCTGGGACAAATGCGACATTGGCCGTGGTCCAGTATGGTTTGACACACCGCCACATTTGTTAGTACAGAATAGAAGATACAGCAACAATGCCCAAGAATTCCAATATTCTGTGTCTCCTTTCGCATCGTGTGTTTCGAGCCAGGGTAGTGACGAGATGCAACGAGGGGTTTTTAAGGACATGAGTACACCTCAGGGCGTGTCATGCATAGTGAGTGTTCAGCTCATAAATCACTGTTCAGGCTGGTATGTGGCGGTTCAAAGAGGTGGGGCAAACACACCGTTCTAGAACGCAGAACATCGTAGTCAACCGCTTCAAATGGACTGAAAGTTCACCAAGCCGCTTGGCATGACACGCCCTAAAAAAACTTGCGCATAAAATATAAATATTGCACAATAGTAAAGCGTTGGAAAGTTGCAACCTAGTACTACAGTCAGTTGCACATTCGCCTGCTTCACTCACGCGCTGCTATGTTCAGACGAGGCGAATAAGTGACCACGGTGTGAACGGTCAAGAAGACAGACAGCAGCGCGCCGAGCCGCAGCAGGGCGGCGACTGATGATCGGATTCTCAAGCGCCGCGGCTCGACTCGATTCGTCGCTCCTGCTGCCACGCCCCCTCCCATTCTCGTAATAATTAATCAGGACTATGTGCTTCGGCCTGTTCTCGGACGTAATCATTCGAGTATTACTAGCAATAGTACTAGGAATGGTACTGATTTCGACACCCATTCCGAGATCTATTTCCGCGATGCTTTTCACGAGGCAGGCTTTGTTGCTGGCGCTGCGCTGGCAGGCGGGAAAAGGCAGTGGCACAGTACCAGATCTCCTCTGATAGATGGAGTCAAGCCACAGATATCCTGGCATGACATTGACATCCCAGTCCGTCTGTAGTTTGGATTGGAAAATATATATTTCACTCGGTACTCGGTAGCACTACCGAGCGCTAAACGACGAGAAAGAGCATTGTTTTTAGGGCGTGTCGTGCTTGGCGGAAGTACAATCAGCTTCAGGTGCTGTTACCCAATAACACCCTGTAACATCTGCAATTGACAAGCCAACCAGACAGTCACTTCTAGATTTGTTTCTGGCCGACGTTTTTTTTACGTGTCCTAGTTCGTGTGCAGCACGTGCCATTTCTCGAGTGCAGAACATGTACACACACATTTCGGGGTTTGCCAAGGGGCATAGGTGAAATGCGAATAAAACCCTAGCGAAAGTAACGAAGGTACCAACAAAGTGGAGCCGCACCATATCGCTATTTTTTTCGATGACGGAGGCGTGAACGGATCCCGCCGATTTTTACGTGGATTTCGTAGAGGGACAGGGTTACTGCTCGCCACTTCCTGTCAAGATTGATACGCCACACGGTTCTTGTTCGGGTTAGACTGTAGCTCCGTGTGCAGAAAAGTGGGTTCGCGTCAGGCGTACACAAACCATTTTCTGTACGCGGGGGCAGCAGTTTTGGAAACAATCACAATTACGTAAAGAAACATGTAAAAGCCCAAAATACACCCTGCAAGACACGCCATTAGGGTTGATGCCTCCCCCAGTCGCATCCCGTTCCGATTAGGTTTTAGTTTTTTTGGGTCAGGGGAGGTGCAATATATTGGATAATAACGAACGCCCAACAACGAACCATTCTAAATGTTGGGCCGGCCCGACAACGAACGCCCTGCTAGCAAGTGTGTAGTGACGGCGGGTCCAAGAATGTACATAATTGCAGAAAACCCTAACTAACCATTATAGTTTAACATTAAACCGCTCAGTTTCAAATACAAACCCTTTTCAACCGCATTCTGACGTACTCTCCAGACACGCCCTCAGAAAAAATAAAATGAACCGCTTTGTCTCACAAAATAAATTATCTGAAATACATTGATCGAAATTGTGTGCAGTGTACTGTACAGTGTTCCTCACTGTACAGTTAGAATTTCGCATGCCTGCCCACCATATCGACTCCACGAGAGTTGGAATGGAAGTGTGCCCACCAATGGTGGGGCGAGCGCAGTGCTCTGTCGCACACTGGATAGTTCGCCACACCCACATTCTCGGAAACAGCTCTCGCGAAATAACGTAGCGAGGACTGTTTCACCTCGCCGATTGCATTCGCATGCGCCCCACCCACATTCTCGAAATGACCCTTTTCAGTTTTTCACCAACAGTATTCCCCCAACCATGCTGACCTCGTGCTAGTATCTGAAAGTCCTAGGGTTCCACCACACAAGATGTCATATCCGTGACGCGATTTGTTTCTTTGCGAGAATAACTCACCTGACATCTGGGCCCAGTTCGGCAGCCAGGGGGCAGCAATTTTGTAGGAAGGTTATGGGAAGGTGAGGCTCGCGTCAAACCAGGGTCAACGAATTTTGACCCTGGGTTGACTGCTCCGCGGAAAACCTGCGCCATGGGGGAGCTGGTGCAGATTGGGGGGGGGGAATGGGAAAAGGCGCCGCAGGAGAGTGGCAAATTTGGCCTCAAATGTGCTTGCCCCAGGGCACTGTAGCGGGAACAGAAAGGTTCGCCAGAAAAAAACAAAAGATTTGCGCCCCATGCTGTTGGGGAAATCCAACTTTCAAAAAAACGATCATTGTGTTTTTTAATGTAGTAATCCTTTCCTTTGTAGGGTCCAATGTTGGCCCGTGAACAGTGAATCCAGGTGGAATCAAAAAGTTGATTCTTCTGTTTTCAAAGCATCACTTTCTTCTTCCGTCTCACTAGGGCGGAACCTTTCCGCCAAAGGGGGGAGAATAAGGACAGAAGACGGCGCGGAAGCAATGTTTGGAGGTGTTCGCGTCGCTGTTGCTAAACACCTGCGTTTCGATTTCCAGAAAGTTTACCCTACAGCCCGTACAAATTTGCCCTCGATAATGCGATTAGAAGCTTCGAAGAAGACGGAAACATTTTTCTTCCGCCCTTCTTCCGTGGCTGCCGAACTGGGCCCTGGATTCTCTCACCTGACATCAGGATTCTCCCACCTGACATCAGGGCTCTCTATCACCTGACATCTAGATTTTATCACCTGGCATCAAAACCAAGAGTCCATTCTTTGACTGCCAGTCTGCGAGGGATGGCGCCGAGAATCGAGGCGGAGAAAGTGATCGGATACGAATTCGACGAGGTCAGTGCGTCGCGTCGCGCGTCCACAGGACGATTCAATCCCAGCTGCTTGCATGAATTCGACCAATGGGGAACGAGCGAGTCGAGAGCAGCTTGCCGTAGCATCACAACCGCCTACTGACCTTTCAACATCCGTCGCGCTCCCGTCGCTCTCAGTTCATCGCTCTCGTTACTCATTGCTTGCGTTCTCATACTCTCGTATTCAATACTCTGTAAGAATGCAGGCTGCATCCTTCTCTGTAATCGTCGCTCTTCATTCGTCGCTCCGCATTCATTCTCTTTCACGGCTCCACCGAGTAACCCCCCTCCACGCATCTCCTTCCCATCCTCCTCAAATCTTTCTCGTTCACCATCCTTTCCTATCAACCCTTGCCAACCGCCGTGCATGCACACGTGGATGCCTTCTATTGGCCCCCATGCGCCGCCGCTAAACCCGGGACGGCTCCCAGTCGGAGTTTGAGTACACAGAGAAGTAAGCGCAAGGTAGTGGGGGAACAAGGGTGGGGGAGAGGTGGGGGAAGGCAATGGAAGAAAGGGTGGGGGGAAGGGTGGCGGAAGAATGGGGGAAAGGGTGACGGCTTCCCGTCGGAGTTTGAGTACACAGAGAAGTAAGCGCAAGGCAATGGGGGAACAAGGGTGGGGGAGAGGGTGGGGGAGAGGGTGGGGGAGAGGGTGGGGGAGAGGGTGGAGGAGAGGGTGGGGGAGAGGGTGGGGGAGAGGGTGGGGTAACGGAGGGGCAGGAGAACATCGCATGGGAGAAGGGCGGGAAAGAGGTGTGTTTGTTGTTCATTTTGTTTCAGCACCTCGTACGTCATTTCATTGTGTCTTGCCAATGATTGCCTCTCTGTGTGCGTGCGTGCGTGCGTGCCTGCCTGCGTGCGTGTGTGGCATGGCTTGTCCTGTATGTGACACTCGCTGCTGTGTGCGTGCGGCATTGCCGACCCCTACATCTGTGCCGGGGATGTGTGTCCCTCCCTGTGAATGTGTGGCATGGCGTGTCGCTATGTATGGCATGGCTTGTTCTGTATGTATTGTTGACCCCAACATCTGTGCCGGGGATGTGTGTCCCTCCCTGTGAATGTGTGGCATGGCGTGTCGTTATGTGTGTGCTGGCAGGGACGTGGCACTATATGCGTTGGGCGTTGGGGCATGCTCGTCTGACGCGTGTGACTCTATCGATTTGCCCTTCGCCTACAATCACCTCTTCCAGGATCGCTTCTTTGTAAGCACCAACATACCACACCCCGCCTGCTACAGTCCCCCTCCTTGCGTCATTCTCCTTGCGTCACTCTCTTTGTGTCACTATCCTTGCGTCATTTTTTCGTGTCACACCCCAGCCTGTCATATCACAGACGTTCCAGGATGGCCCTCAATGCCCTTAACAGCCCCCTAACTCATTACCCCCCCCCACCATTCCTCTCCCCTCACCCACATTTCCCTCCCTCCTTGCACCGCCACTCACACCACAGGTTCTCCCCACCTTCGCGGTTCTCTTCCCCTCCTCCCTCATCGAGCAACTCCTCGCCGTCGATGGGCTCATGTGAGTGGATGGGATGAGGCCGTGCTGGTAACCGCATTCGCTCCTTTCTCCCTCGTTCCTCGCTCTATACCCCACACCCTTCCCCTCCTCCCTCATCGAGCAACTCCTTGCCGTTGACGGGCTCGTGTGAGTGGATGGGATGGGATGGGATGGGATGGGATGGGATGGGATGGGATGGGATGGGATGAGGTGACTTTTGAGTCGACTCAAAAGTCACCTCGCTCTATACCCCACACCCTTCCCCTCCTCCCTCATCGAGCAACTCCTTGCCGTTGACGGGCTCGTGTGAGTGGATGGGATGGGATGGGATGGGATGGGGTGGGATAGGACCATGCTGGTAACCGCATTCCGCTCATTTCTCTCTTGCTCCTCTCTCTCTCCGCGCCCCACATCCTTCCCCCTCCTCCCTCATCGAACAACTTCTTTCCGTCTATAATATCGTGTATGTGGATGGGGATGGAACCATGCAGACCCCTTCCTCTCTCTCTCTCGCTCCTCTTCCATGGACCCCACACCCTTTCGCCCTTCCGTGTCATCCATCCGCCCTGTATTCGTATCACAATCACTCACCCTGCCTCCCTCTCCGCCCTCCCCTCCCCACCTCCCCACTCATCATGCCCTCCCTCCCCCAGCTTCGATCCGGCTCTATTGTTGCACGGGGAGCAGTACCTGCGCCTCTTCCGCCCCCTGCCCACTGCTGCCAAGGTGAGCCCGAACCACTCAATTCAACTCAACGATCCACTCCTGCCCACCGCTGCCAAGGTGAGCCCCCGAACCACTCAACTCAATTTCTAATTGGCCACTCCTGCCCACTGCTGCCAAGGTGAACAATAGCCAGCCAGCTTGGTTTCTGTAGCCTTTTCTTGAAGCAATCGGTCTCATTCCAAGCGTGAATTAGCTTCTGACTGCCTGCTAGCCAGGTGGTGAATCGGGCGCACATATCAGGGTTGAAGGACAAGGGCAGGGCAGAATGTCCTGTTGATATCACTTTTGAAAAAACTTGAAAGGACAAGGGCAGGGCAGAATGTCCTGTTCTGTGTATTTTTTACTCGCCTGTGAGTCTGCCCCTCGGTGATCAACACAAGGCAGGTGGTGAATCGAGTGCGCATATTAGCTTTGAAGGACAAGGGCAAGCAAGCTCGCCTGCGTGTGTGTCATCTCACACCCCAAAGCAGGTGGTGAATCGAGCGCGCATATTAGCTTTGAAGGACAAGGGCAAGCAAGCTCACCTGCGTGTGTGTCATCTCACACCCCAAAGCAGGTGGTGAATCGAGTGCGCATATTAGCTTTGAAGGACAAGGGCAAGCAAGCTCGCCTGCGTGTGTGTCATCTCACACCCCAAAGCAGGTGGTGAATCGAGCGCGCATATTAGCCTTGTGAGGGGGGACCCCCAGCCCAGGGACCCCCAGGGACCCCTTATCCCCTTTCTCTCCCCCCCCTTCCCCCCCTCTCCCCCCCCCCTTCCCCCCCTCTCCACCCCCCCTTCCCCAAGTCAGGTGGTGAATCGGGCGTGCATATCAGCTCTGAAGCACAAGGGCAGGAAAACAATCACTTTCTGTATGATTATTCTTGCCTGTGTGTCTGTCCCTCGGTTTCAACCCAAGGCAGGTGGTGAGTCGAGTGCGCATGTCGGGCCTGAAGGACAAGGGCAGGAAGGCATGTAGTTACCTGTATACCTGTTTCTCCCGAATGTTTGTCCCTCGGTTTCAATCCAAGGCAGGTGGTGAATCGAGCGCACATATCAGCGCTGAAGGACAAGGGCAGGAAAACATATACTTTCTGTATGATTATTCTTGCCTGTGTGTCTGTCCCTCGGTTTCAACCCAAGTCAGGTGGTGAATCGCGCGCGCATATCAGCGCTGAAGGACAAGGGCAGGGCGGCCATAGTGGACGTTGAGTCTCCGACCCCTCCACAGCACCCTATTATTCTCGCCCTTTGTGTGTGTCTTTCAACCTCACCCCAACCCAGGTGGTGAGTCGCGCGCGCATATCAGGCCTGAAGGACAAGGGCAGGGCGGCCATAGTGGACGTTGAGACAGTGTCATTCGACCGCGAGTCAGGAGCCAGGCTCGCACTCAACAGGTGTGCTTCTGTTCTGAGTCAACAGGTGTGCTTCTGTTCTGAGTCAACAGGTGTGCTTCTGTTCTGAGTCAACAGGTGTGCTTCTGTTCTGAGTCAACAGGTGTGCTTCTGTTCTGAGTCAACAGGTGTGCTTCTGTTCTGAGTCAACAGGTGTGCTTCTGTTCTGAGTCAAGTCAAAGGGCATGAGGGGCCTGAAGGACAAGGGCAGGGCGGCTATAGTGGACGTGGAAACAGTCTCGTTTGACCGCGAATCAGGCGCCAGGCTCGCACTCAACAGGTGAGTGTGAGACGTTCCTCGACTGTGGGATGTCGCTTCACTGTGTGGATTGCTCATTGTTGCAGCAGGAGCCGGGGGCTCCCTCCCGCCGATTCATGAGACGTCTCAAAAGTTGCTCATTTTTGCAGCGGGAGCCTGCTAATGGGCATGGGCTCCTGCCGATTCATATCGTATCATAGCGTTCCATGTGCCTTCATTTGAGTCGACTCAAAAGCATGGGCTCCTGCCGATTCATATTGTATTCATGTCAAATCATAGCATCCCATGTGCCTTCATTTGAGTCGACTCAAAAGCATGGGCTCCTGCCGATTCATATCGTATCATGTCATAGCTTTCCATGTGCCTTCATCCGCGGCATGCCCTTTCAGCCTTCTCATCCTCTATTCCATCTCTGTGCCTTGCCATGCCATCCCATCACCCCATCAGGTCATCCATCGTGCTGCGTGGTGCCGGGGGCTTCTCCTCCAAACCTACCACAACCTCCACGAACCCATCTCAACCGCAACAGCAACCACAACAACCACCACCAGCACGTGGCAGCGCAGCAGGCACCAGACAGCAGCCATCCGCTCGCCCGCCACCCCACGCAGCAACAGAGGAGCGCATCCCGCCCAACCAGGCTTTGCTGTACCGCCTCTGTGGCGACCTCAACCCCCTCCACTCCGACCCTGAATTCGCCGCCACTGCAGGGTAACTAGCCCTCTTCCCATGCCTACCAGCCAACCCTCCTTCCCGGACCATCTGATGCCTGTTAGCTCCTGTTTCAGCTTTCTGGATTGTCTCCCCATCACCATCGCCCCTATCTCATCTCCCATGCTGCCTACCATTTCCCTCTTCCCTCAACCTCAACCCTCTCCCCTCATCCCCCCGCCCCCAGCTACCCTCGCCCAATCCTGCATGGCCTCTGCACGCTCGGCTTCGCCACCCGAGCCATCCTCCGAACCTGCTGCAGGGGCGACCCGAACCTTTTCCACAGCGTGCAGGTTCGGTTCACCGGACATGTGTTCCCCGGCGAGACTCTCATCACCCGAACCTGGCAGCCCGTTTCCATACCAGCATCAAGCGCAGCAGAGGAAGAAGAGTCAGCAGGTTCAGGAGTGGAAAGTGTGGGAGGAGGGGAACCATTGAGGCGTGTGAGCTTTGAGTGTTGGATCGCTGAGCGCAACAAGATGGTGCTGTCTGGGTGGATGCAGCTGTGTGGTGACAGTGAAGGCATAGGAAGTGAAGGCATAGGAAGTGAAGGCATAGGAAGTGAAGGCATAGGAAGTGAAGGCATAGGAAGTGAAGGCATAGGAAGTGAAGGCATAGGAAGTGAAGGCATAGGAAGTGAAGGCATAGGAAGTGAAGGCATAGGAAGTGAAGGCATAGGAAGTGAAGGCAGAGATGTCATGGGCAGCGATGGCTCGCCCAAGCCACGCTTGTAGCTTCTCACTCTTCTAACTCGAGTGCTGGATCGCGGAGCGCAACAAGAAGGTGCTGGCGGGGTGGATTCAGCTGTGTGGTGCTGGCAGTGAAGGCACGAGCAGAGACGTCGCCCAAGCCACACTTGTAGCTGCTCCTTCACACTTGTACCCTTTCAGTGCTGGATTGCAGAGCGCAACAAGATGGTGCTGTCTGGGTGGATGCAGCTGTGTGCTGCCGATGAAGCCATGGGAAGAGACGTAATGGGCAACGATGGCTCCCCCAAGCCATGCTTGTAGGTCCGTCACTCTTGTACGTACTAGCTCCGAGTGCTGGATGGCGGAGTGCAACAAGATGGTGCTGTCATTGGCAGTGAAGGCAGAGACATCATGGGCAGCGATGGTTCTCCAAGTCACGCTTGTATCTCCTTCATTCTTCTTACTCCACTGCTGGATCGCTGAGCGCAACAAGATGGTGCTGTCTGGGTGGATGCAGCTGTGTGGTGCCAGTGGAGCCAAGGGTAACGAAGCCACAGGCAGAGAGATGGTGAGCAGCGATGGCTCGCCCAAGCCACGCTTGTAGCTACTTCATTCCTGGACCAGATGCGAGTAAATGTGTACATAAGAGATGCTCCCACAGCCCTACGCACCCGCTCGAGACTTTGGCATGTGTTCATGCATGGTGTGGAATCAAATGTTCTGTAAGCATCCATGTTAAGGGTGTTGTTTGATCAAATACACAAGATTGGCACTAGTTATGGCTCCTACCTAGCCTAGTTCAATGTTTCCTGTGTACAAGAAGCTGCACAATGTTATGCAGTACTCACACACTGACTTGTTAGAATAGCACGCATGGCTTGGTTGACCCACAGAACATGCTAGTCACAAGGCCTATCCTTATGTACGACCACCCATGTCGCAGAGTCTGCCAATGTCCCTCATCTGCCGTACTTCACTTTGAAAGAAGAGTCTGGATGGTGCAGGCCACCGCTTGCAGCATGCGAGCCATGAGCCCGTACCCCTCAGGCACCCCCACTGCTGCTGCTGCCACTGCGTGCTGCACCTGCTGTGCTGGCAGCTTGCGGCTGTGAGGCACCTCCACCTCCACGTGGGGGCGCGTGAACGGATACGACATGCCGCTGCATGGGGATCGGGGGAGAATAAGGAGCAAGTCACGAATCATCATCAGCTTGCGGCTGTGAGGCACCTACACCGCCACGTGGGGGCGCGTGAATGGGTAAGACATGCCACTGCAGGGGATGCATCGGGAGGGGCGAGGAGAGACGTCAAATAAAACAGGAGGTTATTTTTTGGATTTGAATGCCAGGAAAGGTAAAAGGAATGGGATCGGGATGATGGTGAACATAACGCGGTACTCCTTCCCCAGCCTAGCCTAGTAAGAAAGGTGAAGAAATCAGAAAAGCATGGTATCATGGTCCAGGGATTCGGTGCCGTACCTTATCTGGTAGGGGATGCGACAGCTGAGCACAACTTTGGTGAAGGGGTCGAAGTGCACGAACGAAGCTTGCACCATGACATCACCTGTGGGTGCATGCGCAGGCAGATAAGCGGAGGAGAGAGGTACATACATCAACAGGCACAAGCAAAGGGATCAGAACCAGGTCACTTCGTTTTGAGATGAATGAAGAAGTGACATGTCAGTAGACGCACAAGTCACTACCGAAGCTCACCTGCTGTGCCGCATGGCTGCATGGTGAGGCATGGCATGACCCGCATGAGACACTGTCTCTGCTCCCACAGCTCCTGCACCAGTGCATGCGTGCGCCCTGCTCGTAGCAGCACTCCCTGCATGCCACACATGGGGTTGCGGATGACACGCATGGGGGGATGGATGACACGCATGAGAGAGCATGGGCGGATGGTTGCAAGGTGGGGGTAGGCACGGACATGTGGATGGCATGCATGTGAGCAGGGGCGGATGGGGAATAATCATGCTCGGATGGCCTGTGAGTGAACGTGCCCACTGGCTCTAGGCACCAGGCATCGTGGCGCTTCAAGGAAGAACATGGTTGGGTGTTGCAGAGTGTTGAGTTATAACGGGTTCACACAGGCATGTTACTGAACAGCTCTGTAGGTACCTGATAAGCAGAGCAGCCTGCGGCGTACCTGATAAGCAGCCGCGAGGGAAGTGAGGGGGGAGGAGCGCGGCTGAGAGGGCCCCCCTGTGGGTCCCACCACCAGCGCTTCCATCGCAGGCACGGCCTCAAAGAGCGGGAATTGCTGTGAGGAGGCGATGTGACGCAAGGCAGGGGGAAGAGCGGAGATGGGAGGACGAGAGGGGAGTGAGCTAACTTTCTCAATTCCCACCATTTGTGCCTCTGTCACTGGCAACGAATTTAAAGGGGGGGTTGGTGAGAGAGGCGATGGTGGAGGGAGAGGCGCACGGTGAGAGGGAAATGGTGAGGGGTGGTGGTGAAATAGCTTGACAGAAAACGTTAACGTTGAGGGTACGGGCAGAAGGGCATCGAGGGTAGGAGCAGAGCAGAGCGCACCTTGGCGACCACCGAGTGGTTGATGGCTGGCGAGAGGGAGAAGGAGGATGTTGCCAGGTCGATGTGCACTCTGTTGAGACGACGATCAGAGAGGGGGGAGGAGCAGTGAGAGGTGGAGCAGGGAGAAGGGGGGTGAGAGATAGGGGGGAGCAGAGAAGGGGGTTGATGCAGTGGCACGCACTGGCACACAGTGAATGAAGTTCAATAAAATCACGAGGGATATTGAGGTGCAGTGGAGTTACGGCGCAAATGTGTGCACACACTCATGCAGCCATGCACACACACACCCCATACAGCAATGTACACACACACACACCCATACAGCAATGCACACACACACACACACCCATACAGCAATGCACACACACACACACCCATACAGCAATGCACACACACACACACCCATACAGCAATGCACACACACACACACCCATACAGCAATGCACACACACACACACCCATACAGCAATGCACACACACACACACCCATACAGCAATGCACACACACACACACACCCATACAGCAATGCACACACACACACACCCATACAGCAATGCACACACACACACCCATACAGCAATGCACACACACACACACCCATACAGCAATGCACACACACACACACCCATACAGCAATGCACACACACACACACCCATACAGCAATGCACACACACACACACCCATACAGCAATGCACACACACACACACCCATACAGCAATGCACACACACACACACCCATACAGCAATGCACACACACACACACCCATACAGCAATGCACACACACACACACCCATACAGCAATGCACACACACACACACCCATACAGCAATGCACACACACACACACCCATACAGCAATGCACACACACACACACCCATACAGCAATGCACACACACACACACCCATACAGCAATGCACACACACACACACCCATACAGCAATGCACACACACACACACCCATACAGCAATGCACACACACACACACCCATACAGCAATGCACACACACACACACCCATACAGCAATGCACACACACACACACCCATACAGCAATGCACACACACACACACCCATACAGCAATGCACACACACACACACCCATACAGCAATGCACACACACACACACCCATACAGCAATGCACACACACACACCCATACAGCAATGCACACACACACACACCCATACAGCAATGCACACACACACACACCCATACAGCAATGCACACACACACACACCCATACAGCAATGCACACACACACACACCCATACAGCAATGCACACACACACACACCCATACAGCAATGCACACACACACACACCCATACAGCAATGCACACACACACACACCCATACAGCAATGCACACACACACACACCCATACAGCAATGCACACACACACACACCCATACAGCAATGCACACACACACACACCCATACAGCAATGCACACACACACACACCCATACAGCAATGCACACACACACACACCCATACAGCAATGCACACACACACACACCCATACAGCAATGCACACACACACACACCCATACAGCAATGCACACACACACACACCCATACAGCAATGCACACACACACACACCCATACAGCAATGCACACACACACACACCCATACAGCAATGCACACACACACACACCCATACAGCAATGCACACACACACACACCCATACAGCAATGCACACACACACACACCCATACAGCAATGCACACACACACACACCCATACAGCAATGCACACACACACACACCCATACAGCAATGCACACACACACACACCCATACAGCAATGCACACACACACACACCCATACAGCAATGCACACACACACACACCCATACAGCAATGCACACACACACACACCCATACAGCAATGCACACACACACACACCCATACAGCAATGCACACACACACACACCCATACAGCAATGCACACACACACACACCCATACAGCAATGCACACACACACACACCCATACAGCAATGCACACACACACACACCCATACAGCAATGCACACACACACACACCCATACAGCAATGCACACACACACACACCCATACAGCAATGCACACACACACACACCCATACAGCAATGCACACACACACACACCCATACAGCAATGCACACACACACACACCCATACAGCAATGCACACACACACACACCCATACAGCAATGCACACACACACACACACCCATACAGCAATGCACACACACACACACCCATACAGCAATGCACACACACACACACCCATACAGCAATGCACACACACACACACCCATACAGCAATGCACACACACACACACCCATACAGCAATGCACACACACACACACCCATACAGCAATGCACACACACACACACCCATACAGCAATGCACACACACACACACCCATACAGCAATGCACACACACACACACCCATACAGCAATGCACACACACACACACCCATACAGCAATGCACACACACACACACCCATACAGCAATGCACACACACACACACCCATACAGCAATGCACACACACACACACCCATACAGCAATGCACACACACACACACCCATACAGCAATGCACACACACACACACCCATACAGCAATGCACACACACACACACCCATACAGCAATGCACACACACACACACCCATACAGCAATGCACACACACACACACCCATACAGCAATGCACACACACACACACCCATACAGCAATGCACACACACACACACCCATACAGCAATGCACACACACACACACCCATACAGCAATGCACACACACACACACCCATACAGCAATGCACACACACACACACCCATACAGCAATGCACACACACACACACCCATACAGCAATGCACACACACACACACCCATACAGCAATGCACACACACACACACCCATACAGCAATGCACACACACACACACCCATACAGCAATGCACACACACACACACCCATACAGCAATGCACACACACACACACCCATACAGCAATGCACACACACACACACCCATACAGCAATGCACACACACACACACCCATACAGCAATGCACACACACACACACCCATACAGCAATGCACACACACACACACCCATACAGCAATGCACACACACACACACCCATACAGCAATGCACACACACACACACCCATACAGCAATGCACACACACACACACCCATACAGCAATGCACACACACACACACCCATACAGCAATGCACACACACACACACCCATACAGCAATGCACACACACACACACCCATACAGCAATGCACACACACACAACCCCCATACAGCAATGCACACACACACACACCCATACAGCAATGCACACACACACACACCCATACAGCAATGCACACACACACACACCCATACAGCAATGCACACACACACACACCCATACAGCAATGCACACACACACACACCCATACAGCAATGCACACACACACACACCCATACAGCAATGCACACACACACAACCCCCATACAGCAATGCACACACACACACACCCCATACAGCAATGCACACACACACACACCCATACAGCAATGCACACACACACACACCCATACAGCAATGCACACACACACACACCCATACAGCAATGCACACACACACACACCCATACAGCAATGCACACACACACACACCCATACAGCAATGCACACACACACACACCCATACAGCAATGCACACACACACACACCCATACAGCAATGCACACACACACACACCCATACAGCAATGCACACACACACACACCCATACAGCAATGCACACACACACACACCCATACAGCAATGCACACACACACACACCCATACAGCAATGCACACACACACACACCCATACAGCAATGCACACACACACACACCCATACAGCAATGCACACACACACACACCCATACAGCAATGCACACACACACACACCCATACAGCAATGCACACACACACACACCCATACAGCAATGCACACACACACACACCCATACAGCAATGCACACACACACACACCCATACAGCAATGCACACACACACAACCCCCATACAGCAATGCACACACACACACACCCATACAGCAATGCACACACACACACACCCATACAGCAATGCACACACACACACACCCATACAGCAATGCACACACACACACACCCATACAGCAATGCACACACACACACACCCATACAGCAATGCACACACACACACACCCATACAGCAATGCGCACACACACACACCCATACAGCAATGCACACACACACAACCCCCATACAGCAATGCACACACACACACACCCATACAGCAATGCACACACACACACACCCATACAGCAATGCACACACACACACACCCATACAGCAATGCACACACACACACACCCATACAGCAATGCACACACACACACACCCATACAGCAATGCACACACACACACACCCATACAGCAATGCACACACACACAACCCCCATACAGCAATGCACACACACACACACCCATACAGCAATGCACACACACACACACCCATACAGCAATGCACACACACACACACCCATACAGCAATGCACACACACACACACCCATACAGCAATGCACACACACACACACCCATACAGCAATGCACACACACACACACCCATACAGCAATGCACACACACACACACCCATACAGCAATGCACACACACACAACCCCCATACAGCAATGCACACACACACACACCCATACAGCAATGCACACACACACACACCCATACAGCAATGCACACACACACACACCCATACAGCAATGCACACACACACACACCCATACAGCAATGCACACACACACACACCCATACAGCAATGCACACACACACAACCCCCATACAGCAATGCACACACACACACACCCATACAGCAATGCACACACACACACACCCATACAGCAATGCACACACACACACACCCATACAGCAATGCACACACACACACACCCATACAGCAATGCACACACACACACACCCATACAGCAATGCACACACACACACACCCATACAGCAAT